AGGTGAACAAAGTCGAAATAGCCAGAGTTCACGGACAAAACAGCATCGTCGCGTAAAGTATCGAGTTGAAACCCTCCAAATCCACTTAAATATCTCCGTTTCAATAATTGTATATTTACCCGGATAATAGTTATATTCTGAATCATCATCCGGAATAGAGTCATTTTCAGAGTCAGGGGATGTTTTAGACATTGTTGATGTAGTATTATCAGTTAAAATTTATCATATACAAGTCTTTGCAATACCGTATTTATAGTATATTGGTACGCGAAGCTTAACACGGGTTCCTCGCGCTACGTCACTCGTACCAGTTTTCCGCTTATCCTTTAACTGACGGTCAACATTCACAATCTCGCAGTATTTGGTCAGAAAAAGACATGAAAAAATATAAAATCATCAAAAACCAAAACGAATCCTCATTATTAGCCACCTATACTTCCCATTTATGAAATAAAAAAAATTGGTTGATATGCACTTTAAATGTAGTAGACCAAGAAAAATATATGAGCAAAACTGGTTCTGCATACATGTACAGTCACCCATGAATTGGCCGTCAGTCAAACTTCACCTGCCAACGAACAAGGAAATAAAATATCAATTTCCAACACTGTAAAGAGTCACAACCAGACATGCTGTATATGTCGCCAGTCAAGAAATGTTAATGCCATTCAATGTTCATTGTGTAGAGATTTCTTTTATCTAGACTGCATTCAGTTCAATGAACACTTGGCCATCCTTGGGGAAACAAATTACTTTTGCACAAATTGTATTTTTATAAATTTTACCCCATTTTTGAGGTATATACTGAACTCAAAAGGCATTGAAAAGCTATCTGACAGCAATAAAATTTCGGAGCTATATGACAATATGCAAGTAATAATTATGTATCTACTATTTGGGAAGATGACGAAGTTCAAGCAGTCGATAATGACCAGCAAATCAGTGTGGTGGATTCTGCGAGTATAAATAGAGGCATAGTTAACAAGAAGTCGAACTGTTGGTTAAGCAGTGTTTTGCATTGCTTAGCCTCGACTCCTTTGCTAAAACTATTGAATAAATGGAGAAATGCATCGAATCCTACTGGGCTCCTAAATTGCCTTGCAAAAACTTTGGAAAATCTAAGTAACGTGTCAAATAAGAGAGTACCTCCACTCCGCTTGTGCGACGGTCCACTGGAAGTTGCTCAGTGTATCGGAATGCTTCCAGACACGAAAGACCACAAAGACGCACGTGAATGCTTTTCGCAGATTTTGGGAAGCGTTTATTCGGAATTTTTTGAATTTGAGTCAGAGGAATTGAGCGCTCTCTATAAATGGAAGCTTTTTACTCTGAATCGATGTCTCGTACCCGATTGTCAAAAAATTAGCGAGAGGCGTGTTGTCATGTGGACTTTTCCAATTCAAATACCTTTAACAAGTGACACTGTCAACCTGCAATCGCTGCTCTGGACCCATTCTATTGGACGCTTTACAACTGAAGAAGATGAAATTTGCAAAAGCTGTAGTTGCAAACCTGCAGCTCATCACGTCGAACTGATAGACGTCATACCGAACATTTTAACTTTTTCTATAAATCGAATTCAATGCAACCAGTCTGGAAAGTTACAACGAGTGTACACGCCAGTTTTATGTGATCTTAAAATAAATCTAAGAGGGATGACTGCTCGAAATTTTGATGAAAATGACATAGATTGTACGTTGCTGGCTGCAATTCTTCATAAAGGTCCGTTTGTTCATAGTGGGCATTTTATTGCATATGTATTTAATTCAGCTCACACTGCAATTATGTATGATGACACAATTGTTAAAGAAGTTTGCAGCAAAAGCCTGGTCAATTCAAAAGATTTCAAGGAAAACGTATATATGTCCTTTTACACTAGTGGGTGTACGTGCGTATGAAAAACGCTGAAAACCGTTCACACGGTACTGGATTGCCATCAGGTCAAATTTTTAAGTTAATGAAAGACAGCGGTGTTTTTTATTGTCTGAGCTCTGAATAAATATACCAAATTTATCAAATTAATAAGTATTTACTTAATAATGGTTGCTTCATAACGGCAAACGAAGATGTCGTGATGAGTGGATCCGGTACCGTGTGACGCAGCTTAAGTGAAAGACAGCCCTAAGAAGCCAGGCAATAAAAAAGTGATTGGATGCATGTTGCAGCTTTAAGACATTCCTTGCAATTCAGTGCGGAAGAGAAAAACTGAGGAAAACTTTCAAAACATAAAACTATCCACCCCTTCTCTCCCTCTCTCCCTCCGCGATCCCTGGACAATATTGAATATCTCACGGGTGTAATTTGAGAAGGCAAAATGCATCTTGCCTGAAAAGGAGACTCTTATCATTAGCATTTTAATAATTATCCCAGCTTCAAACTAGCTCACAAAATATATTTAAAAAGTTAACTGATCTACGGTCCGATGCTGGCTGAAAAATAATTTTGTCTTCAATGTGTAGAAATTTACATAAACGTTCACAAAAAAGAAACAAATATCAAGATTACTCAGACCAAGTTTTGATCCAGTCTCTAGACGAATATGGTTCTTGGCAGGGTTGGATAAATAAAGTAGCCAAATACAGTCATCCCATTAGTTTTAACAACACTGCTACTTGGTATAATTACCTCCAAGTTGATACCACACGAGACAACTTTAGGGATGTAAGTCAAACACCGAAATAAAAATTTTAACAACAGTCAACGAAGTGAAATCATGAAATGGTTTACAAAATTACAAATTACATACTGGTATAGTAGGCAAATATTTAAATATTCAGCAATATTCTTGTCATGTGTTCTTGTGTGGACCAGGCACGTTCGAGTCATAACATCCTAATTTACCACTTGATGTTAGTTTGCTTACAAATAAGCTACCTAAAGTGTTAATTAAAAATCTAAGCTTCAGTATATTAAATTATGATAACGACCATCTGTAGGGTTTCTAAATTCGCAATGTTGAACGCATTAAAGATAAAATAACTACGTTTAAAACACGCCTAAGGTATAAATTGTTGTGTTGTCTCGTGATCTTTTTCATGAACATCAGATGTCTTGAACATAATATTATTTAAATTTCAAGTTTTTACAATTTTCCAGTTCCCGCTCCAGACTTTAAATTTTTTCCTTTCCATGCAGATAATAAAATGTCCCTGTAATGTACATAGTTCTTTTAGTTCCACCAGAGGCGTAACTTAGAACGATAATTGAGGTAGTGTTTATTCATATATTCAGTTCTACCCGAAGGCGAGGGAGGTTTGTGTAATTTGTGGAATTACACAAACCTCCCGAGCCTGAGGGGGCATTTAATCACTAATTTCCCTCATGTCATGGTATTAGTTTGTAATATCATGATCAGCGAGGGTGACGTAGCGTATAATTGGTTTTATGTATTGTTAAAAATTCATATGTGTGCATCTCATTGCTTGCATGCTTGCTCATGCTTACAGAAGCGGGCGATTTATAAATTAGGAGTTAGGAGTTAAAGGCCCGCTCTAAACAATAGAACCCGAGCTGATCATGATATTACTATTCTAGGCTATTGCATGCAGTTGCGAAAGAAACCCGTTGGGCATGCAGAACTGAATATATGAATATTCAACACCCCCCCCCCAATTATCGTTCTAGTGCATGTATCAACCCCCCCCAATTATCGTTCTAGTGCATGACGTCACTGAGTTCCGTTATCTTTCTTTTTCATCAGCATCAAACTTCAGGAACAAAATACAGCTAATATAGTTACTAAAATTTCTATCATTATTTTCATAACCAGCGCAATTACCATCAGCACCATCCTAGAGACCAGCACCATCACCAACATCGTAGATGAGAATTATCACCACCAATATGACTGTAACTACCATAATGAACATCTTAAACAACACCATCATACGACTGGCATTGGTCACAGTTATTTAGGACATGTTTCTTTTTTTCTTGTTTTCAGATGTATTCAAGATGTCATCTTTGTTTTGTTTACGAGAAGATATTTTTCTATGTCGCGTTATAAATGCCTAAAACCTCAGTTTATATTATGTCTTCAAGGAACGGTACTAAAATTTTCAACATTGATCATGTTTTGCAAACCTAAAAGGCATCTACAAAGTTTGTTTAAAGTATAATCTCAAAATATTGTGAAAATTATACAACATAATCTAAAGAATAAAGGTAAAATAAATGAACGCCGAAAAGATTTTATGTTTTGAACGTTTTCCCGCCAAAATACACGACATAATAAGAAATCTCCTCTTAACAAACTGTAACCCCAGTTAGGGAGGCAAGGGAGTGCTATCACTTGCCCAAGGTGAACTCCCAGACAAACGGAGGGAAGGAGGTGTCTTACTTCTCCATTCTAGACCAGCTCCAAGCAAAGTCTAGCCGCTGCCCAAAAACAATGTTCTTGATGATAGTTTTATAAGGCATTGTTCACTAAATCCATTATAAAATATCCTAACCGAAATCTCAGTTTCAAAACATCTGTCGTTCATAACAAAGTCTTTATCAACTAAGTCTTCTCCTATTGGTTTTCGTCCTAGTGTGAACGAGTTCACTTCAGTTATTTTTAAGAACAAAGTTATTTGCATTTAATTGGTATAAACAACTTGCGGGGAAACCCTACATGTAACAAAATTTTTTCCGGTTAAAAGCGGTTAAACTAATGCACCTCGCTCAATATCGTCCCTGAAAGCAACTGCTTAATATCGTCCAACAAAGCATTTGGTGGAATGGACAGTCGAAGAAACACCATATCACCTTTGTTGTCAGGAAAAGCCAGCACGTCTTCTTTTGGGGAAAGTTGAATTGTTTCGCGTAGCCAAAGAGTCTTGAAGTATGGTTGATAGGTAGTTATTCTTCGCCTATTGGTTTTTGTCCCCGTGTGAACGGGTTCATTTCAGTTATTTTTGAGAACGAAAACATTCGCTTTTAATTGGTATAAACAACCTGCGGGGAAACCCAACATGTAACAAAGTATACACTTTTGTGTAGATTTTCCTAAAAGCAGTCTAAACGTTTTTCCGCAAGAGGAGTTTATTCCGGTTAAAGAAAGGATCGACTACAGCACCTCGCTTAATATCGTCCAACAAAGGATTTTGTGGAATAGACAGTCGAAGAAACACCATATCGCCTTTGCGGTCAGGAAAAGCCAGCACGTCCTCTTTTGGGGAAAGTTTAATTGTTTGGCTTGGCTTCCAAGTCTCCAAGTATCGTTGATAGGAAGTGTTGAGAATCGCGCCAGAGTCCATGTCAAAAAATGTTATCATGTGATCAGATAAAGTTAATACAATTTTACTCTTGTGAATACAAAATGACCTCAAATAAGGAAGGGGGTAGAATGCAGGAGTTACATTTTGAGAATAACCAGTTTCCAGATCAATTATCTGACTCTTATCAGTTCTGTCGTCCACGACTACTGCGACTTTGGAATCATTACTGAAAATTACGACATAAGGGAAGATGACAGACCAATCTCTGTCAGATCTTCCAGCCTCATAGTGATAAAAGAGTTCATATGAAGTTGGGTTTTCGGTATTTCTTTTCCAAATATAACATTTATTCTTATTACAACCAGAGATAAAGGCACCACCGGGCGAGATTTCCACTTCCATCTCCGGCTCAATTCCAGGCAAATTGACCATTACAGGACCATCAACATCTCTGACATCGATAAATTTCACGGGTTCATTCCTTCCCAGAGCCAAGCCGACAAAGCCTTCAGAAAAACGAAGCTGATAAAATCGGATGTCAGACCTGGTAGATAAATGACACAGTGCCACGTCCTGACTGTGAGTAAACACGATCTTTAAATTGTCATCTACCTGGTATCGCGTTAATTTGGGAATCCTGTTAAATTCACTAATCACAAACAAGAAATCTTCCGACCACCAGCATAAAAACCTTGACCAGCATTGACTGCTTTTGAAACGTTGTTCAACTTGGCTGGTATAGACATTCCATACGTTGATATATCCATCTGAGTTGGAGGATGCAAGTCGAGAGCCGTCAGGAGAAAACGAACTCGAATAAACTTCCGTTCGCTGTGACGGACAGGATTGCTCTTGTTTAGGAGCTAATGTTTTAAAGACAATTAGTTTTTCATTATCGAAATAGAGCCACAGATTATCTCCGAAAAGTGTCATATTAGCAAAAATCTGTCGAGGAGCAGAAACAAGATAGTTCCAAGCAACAATCGCAGTCAAAGGAATACTTTCTGTGTCACTCGAATAACAAAATTCTTCCGAAGAAAAAATACACTCCACACCTTTGCAGACCCACGGACACGAAATCATAATATATTCAGTCAAACTTTTCCTCATTTCTAAGTGTTTAGAATTTGGTTCCTCAAATCCCCGCTGAAAACATCGTTCACATTTCCTACTCTTTAACAGAACTCGTTTTTCCCTTTCCCCGTGAGATAATTTTCGCATATCACTTCTTTGCAATGTGATGGCGTTCCAAACACAAAACGAATAACCCGGATAAGATGAAGATTCTGAATTTGCAATAATAAATAACCCTGTGACACTAAAAAAACACAAACCAACACGAAATCCAGCACAAAGCGATGACAGCAGCGTTTGTTTAGCAACGTCCCATAGTTTAATGGTGTTTGAACCGTTGCTAGTCACCAGTTTTTTGCCGTTAGGAGAAAATGCACAGGACAGGAACGTCTCTTCATTTCCAGGGAAAAATGGAACTTCCTTTCTTCCAGCAATGTAAAACGCCGTTTCCAGTTTACCAAATAATATGCGCGAATCGTCTGGAGAAAATGTGCAGCATGAAATTCTTTTCAATTTTGTTGAACAATTTATAATTCCAACTAAAGTTGGTAGGGATATCACATGGATAAAATTATCTATTCCAACTGCCACACTTTTTTCATCGTTAGATAAAGCAACAGCTGTTATATTATCAAAGTCACTGGGTTTCCAGACTGCTCGCGGCAAAACCGAAACTTCGTAAGAATTCCACTCGACAAAAGGTGAAACGTTTGATAGTAACGTCTCCGCGGATTTCCTTTCATCATCGCTGAAATAACCTGCTGGATAATGTGTAAGAACCGCTTGTAAATACCATTGTGAAAATACTGTCGAAAGAAATTGTTCTGAATTTTTCTTATACATTCTTATCGGTGTCAGGGCATTATAAAAAGACTGGAATTCAACGACATGGTACGAAATGCAGGCGCGTAAATCTTCATTTTTAATCCAGGAACTTTGGAGTAATGTGAGCCAGAAACGCCGCAATTTACTTGAATCGATTATACTTAACATATAACAGACGGTAATAACATCAACTGACCAAAACACACCTTCCTCCATTTCACTCTTTTCTAGATGTTTTAAACCATGTTTCAGAGCGTATTCCACGTCATTAGTAAAGTTCACCTCAAGTCCTGAAAGAACACCTTTATCTTTAATTTCTTTAAAAACCTTTTCGCATAAAAGCCAAAGCGATCTATGTCCATCATCGACCTTAACAGTATACTGGTGATCTTTGTAGCCCTTTGCTAGAAGCCAATCAATAACGGATTTATGAAAAACGGTTAACATGTCATCTGAAACGTACAACAAGCATGATATGGTTTCATTCATTTTCTTAATGATGACTTTCGTTTCGCGACAATCTGGAGCTAAACCAAAAGCCTGAGCGACGAAAGTGAGGGGAAGAGATCCTTCGGAAGCAGACAGCATTTCCAAAATTTTTAACACATCGAACTTTTCATCTTTTATGGTGTTAAGCTCGTCTTCAAGGCGTTTAAAATATCGTTCGTAAACAGAATTCAGACCTTCTGGGAGAAACTCCATGACGTCATTCCTTGTTATCTTCTCAAGATCATAGCGAGTGCTTAGCCCAGATTGAAAGTAATATGCATAGAGAAATGAGCCCTGGCATTTGGCAACAAAAATGGAAAGTAAACTAATAGTTTCATTTCGCCGAACGCGGTAAAGATATGGATGTTCCTTATAGAAATCATCGCTCATCTCACTTCCATCCATTTCCCTGCCGACTAAACTTGGAAAACATTCTTCAAAATAAAGTTCAAGATCTGAGTTATTGTTGTCATCAACATTGGAAATGTCCGTCTTTTGATCGTCTCTTAGTCTAAGATTAGCAACGGAAATCTCTGGCCTGCTCGTCACCAAGATTTTGATGTACTCGGGAAGATCAGGAAAATATTCAGCAATCAAATGCGTAATTTCATTCTTATTATCAGCAGCACTTTCATCCAGGCCATCGATCACGACTAAACGTGGCTCTTTTATTTCCAATTCATCTAAGGGATTTTGCAAATATATTCGAAATGCATCTTCGAGGGTTTTGACTTGATGCGGTCGCTTTAACTGATCAAGAAGCTTCTCTTTAAAACCATGGACATTCTCACACATCTGACTTGCGAGAGACTGCAGCATCATCATAGGATCTCTTAGATTTGAATCACTGAAATCACAAAAGTGACAAGCAGCTAATTTTCCATTTTTCTCAAAATCCTTACAGATTTTAGCGGCAAAAACGCTTTTACCAAATCCTGGTCCAGCTGTTACTAACTTTATTCTTGAATCGCTGTCACACTTTTGAAACCACTCGTTAACTTTCTCTAACAACCACTCTCTTGTTCCAGGAAGGAAAAAATTCACTTTTCTTTTAATTTTTCCCTTAAAATTATGCTTAGCAAGTTTTCGCAATAAAACTTCATCACTTTCCATGCGGGATTCTTTTTCAGGACGCTTAGTCAATGAATGGCAGATTTCAAATACTGCATCGTGCGTTTCATTTACTACATCGCGCGTTTTATTTACTGCATCACGCGTTTGATTTACTGCATCGCGCGTCTCATTTACTGCATCGCGCGTCTCATTTACTGCATCGCGCGTCTCATTTACTGCATCATGCGTTTCATTTATTACATCACGCGTCTCATTTGCTGCATCGCGCGTCTCATTTACTGCATCATGCGTTTCATTTATTACATCGCGCGATTCATTTACTGCATCACGCGTTTCATTTACTGCATCGCGCGTGTCATTTACTGCATCACGCGTTTCATTTACTGCATCGCGCGTCTCATTTACTGCATCACGCGTTTCATTTACTGCATCGCGCGTCTCATTTACTGCATCACGCGTTTCATTTATTACATCGCGCGATTCATTTACTGCATCACGCGTTTCATTTATTACATCGCGCGATTCATTTACTGCATTGCGCGTTTCATTTACTGCATCGCGCGTTTCATTTACTGCATCGTGCGTTTCATTTACTGCATCGCGCGTTTCATTTACTGCATCGTGCGTTTCATTTATTACATCTCGTGATTCATTTAGTCCATCGCACGTTTCTTCAGCGACTTGTGTTAAATGATTCACAGAACATTCAATTGTTGCAAGCATTTTAATACACTCATCTTCTCGCTGTTTCCAATCTTCAAGGATTTGCACATACATATTTTCGTCGGGTCCTAGAGGACATTTTTCTAAATCGTCGACATCGCTTTGTGATATCCCTAATTCTACCGATGCCTGGGCAATTTTCTTCCATAAAGATTGAAATGTTGAATTGCGAACTCGAGTTGTTGGTACATGTGCAATAACTTCATTTCTGTAAAACTTGATTCTTGTGATATTCGCTTGCGTTGACCTATCAGCATCTAGAGGCATTACATCCCATCCTGTTGATGGAAAACCACAAATGTTCCGGAATAGAACTGTGAGTAATGTGACATCAAAGGTTTTGGAATCTGGTGGGTTGCCAGACGAAGGAAACAGTAAATCCCACTGGAAATTATTAATAACTCGAGGTTTTAACTTTTGAAGAGATCTTTTGTTTGCAGCCAGTACTCCGGGTAGATTAACAGATAGATGGATGTTATCAAAGTTATTTCTCAAAGCCTCAGTTCCTTTGTCAACTAAAAGTCTACTGAGTCTTGCAAAATTTGCTTTTTCTTGCAGTTCGTCAGAAGCCATAGCATTAGACAGGGTAATTACTGTAACAAAATTGTTGTACTAATTATATAGGCTACACCGAGAAAAAGAATGGGATAGAGTAGATTTTCATAAATGAAAATCCCAAGGATCTTGTTAAACGAAGGGATTTAATTTGTATTATGACTTATTTGTTGTTGTTTTCTATATTGGTTACCGGTTCATTTAACAAGACGTCACAGTTCTGTACTGTGCCACTCAATAGAATACAATAGACACTTATACTGTTAATATTCGAAGAATGTAATGACGTCACAGATCTGTACTATGCCACTCAATAGAATACAATAGACACTTATACTGTTAATATTCGAAGAATGTAATGACGTCACAGCTCTGTACTGTGCCACTCAATAGAATACAATAGACACTTATACTGTTAATATTCGAAGAATGTAATGACGTCACAGATCTGTACTATGCCACTCAATAGAATACAATAGACACTTATACTGTTAATATTCGAAGAATGTAATGACGTCACAGATCTGTACTATGCCACTCAATAGAATACAATAGACACTCATACTGTTAATATTCGAAGAACTTAATGACGTCACAGCTCTGTACTGTGCCAGTCAATAGAATACAATAGACACTCATACTGTTAATATTCGAAGAACGTAACCAGCACTGTCAGACACAAACGTACCTTCTCAAATCTTCAAACGATGATTCCACTACATGGTCAAAATTCTCAGGAAGGATAACGGACAGATGGACTGAAATGTAGATTTAAAACCTAGAAAGAACAAATTCTGATTGTAACTTTAATAACTTAATAATTAACATTATTTAATAACTTAATTTACCTCACACCAAGTTTTGTGGCACAATCTTCAACCTCAACACAAACCTCTATTCAAGTATCGTGTAACTTTGTTCCCCGAATAATGCTCTCAAACACGATGTCCCTAGTACCTAAACTGGTAGAAATACAAGAGTTTCTGTTACGAAAAAGCATTGACATTGGTCTCATTACGGAGACTTGGCTCAACGACAGAATTAGTGACTCTATCGTACATATTGATAGTTATATTATTTTCCGGAAAGATAGACTAACTAAACAACATGGAGGAGTTTGCATATATCTTAGGGATGATTTCATGTACGAATTACTTGAGAATCTGAACTACTCATCAAAGGTTGAAGATCTAAAAGGAAAAAACCCCAAACAGTGGTGGAAGGAGATCAATAGGCTGAGTGGAGCGAAAAAAAACAGACCCAGGTAACCTTCTAAATAAACTACATGGAATTTCTGAATTACAAGATATGCCAA